CCATATTCAATGCCCTGGCTGAGGGAAGGAGGTTCTCACCAAAGATTTGATGGTACATGGCCCTGTCCATCGTCCCTTTGATGCAGTGTAGTTGTCCTGTCCCCTTAGCAGAAAAACACCCCCAAAGCATAATGTTTCCACCTCCATGTTTGACGGTGGAGATGGTGTTCTTATGGTCATAGGCTTGTGTGTGCTCCCTCCCGTTTCCTTCCTTTCAAAAATTGTGAAAAATCCTCCCTCATTCACTCTCCCCATTTCCCCTGCACTACACTCGCTGGCCCGCACTTGCATTCTGAGCCAGTGAATTGGTCTCCAAGAGAAGCCTATGATTAGTACTGTGACTTCAGGACGGGCCAACAAACCAATGTGCATACAATTAACAGATACTCACAATTTTTGTTTTAAATGAACAAAAAGTGTGCTAACAGTGCTTTTCCCCAAGGGCCACTTCTCTCCAAATTGTCCTGGACTCTTCTCCCTGGCTGGTCCACAAATCCTCTGTGTAGGAGACTTGGGTCCTAGCTTTGTGGTGAGTAGACCAATATTGATAGGAGGCCCACCTACTTCGTACATCAAGGGATACATCAGCTCAATGTGTTTCATTTCTTGTTCAAGAGCTTGCAAGAGGTTAGCATTTGTAAAAACAAGTATCTTTTTTGACTACCTATATCCTTGGGTCACTCTTTATACTTTTATTATTTTTAAAAAAAGTTTACAAATGAGTCATGGAACCTGATGGAATATACCCAAAGTTATTAAAAGAGCTTAGTGGTGTACTAGCAAAACCATTAACAGATCTATTTAACCAATCATTGTTAACAGGAGTAGTTCCAGAAGATTGGAAGTTAGCAAATGTTGTACTCATTCACAAGAAAGGTAGTAGGGAGGAGTCGAGCAATTATAGGCCAGTAAGCCTTACTCCAGTAGTGGGGAAAGTAATGGAAACCATGTTAAAGGATAGTATTGTTGAACATCTAAAAATCATATGGATTTCAAGATCAGAGACAACATGGGTTTACTTCAGGGAGATCATGCCAAACTAATCTTATTGATTTTTTTGATTGGGTAACTAAAATAATAGATCAGGGTGGTGCAGTAGACTTTGCTTACCTAGACTTTAGTAAGGCTTTTGACACTGTTGCACGTAGAAGGCTTATAAATAAACTGCAATCTTTAAGTTTGGATTTCAGTATTGTAGAATGGGTAAACCAGTAGCTGAGTGACAGGCAACAGAGAATTGTAGTCAATGGAGTATATTAGAAGCATGGTCTTGTCCCCAATGGGGTACCTCAGGGATCTGTACTTGGACCCATTCTCTTTAATATTTTTATTAGTGATATTGCAGAAGGTCTTGATGGTAAGGTATGCCTTTTTGCTTATGATACTAAGATATGCAGCGGGGTTGATATTCCAGGAGGGATAAGCCAAATGGCAAATTATTTAGGTAAACTAAAAAAAGTTGTGGCAGCTGACATATAAATGTGGATAAGTGCAAGATAATGCATCTTGGATATAAAAAGCCAATGTCAGAGTACAGAATATTTGATAGAGTTCTAACCTCAACATCTGAGGAAAGGGATTTTGAGGTAATTATTTCAGATGACTTAAAGATAGGCAGACAATGAAATAGAGCAGCAGGAAATGCTAGCAGAATGCTTGGTTGTATAGGGAGAGACATTAACAGTAGAAAGAGGGAAGTGCTCATGCCATTGTACAGAACACTGGTGAGAACTCACTTGGAGTATTGTACGCAGCACTGGAGACCATATCTCCAGAAGGATATTGATACTTTAGAGAAAATTCAGAGAAGGGCTACTAAATCGGTTCATGGATTGCAGGATAAAACTTACAAGGAAAGGTTAAAGGATCTTAACATGGATAGCTTGGAGGAAAGACGAGACAGGGGGGATATGATAGAAACATTTAAATACATAAAGGGAATCAACACAGTAAAGGAGGAGACAGAGTCTTAAATTAGAGGGGCAAAGGTTTAAAAATAATATTAGAAAGGATTACTTTACTGAGAGGGTAGTAAATGCATGGAATAGCCTTCCAGCTGAAGTGGTAGACGTTAACACAGTAAAGGAGTTTAAGCATGAGTGGGATAGGCATAAGGCTATCCTAACTATAAGATAAGGCCAGGGACTAATGAAAGTATTTAGAAAACTGGGCAGACTAGATGGGCCGAACGGTTCTTATCTGCCGTCACATTCTAGGTTTCTATCTATTTTAGATCTCAGTTTAGTTTACAACGATTAAGTTTTCATTTTTAAGAGTCAAAATGGCTGCTGGTACCCCTTTAGATTGTGTTCCATAATACAGGGCTTGACAAACGTGCTTCGAATCTAGGAGCCAGCAAAAAAGTTAGGAGCCAGGTATTTCAATGTAAAATACAATTCTTAAAGGGACACTATAGTCACCAGAACCACTACAGCTTTGTGTAGTTGTTCTCGTGTCTATAACCTGTCCCTTCACACTTTTCAATGTAAACCCTGTTTTTTCAGAGAAAAGGCGGTATTTAAATTTTTGCCCAGTCACTCAGACGGTCTCTAGAGTGCATTCTGGGTCAGTGCTCCACAGTTTGCAGCACCTATGTTTAGCGTCTCCACGCTCTGCATGGAGGCACTGAATGTGCTCCATAGAGATGCATCGATTCAATTAATCTCTATGAGGAGATGCTGATTAGCGCAGCATGGTGTGTTGCTACACATGCACATTAGCCTCCCAATGCTTTCCTACGGGAAAGCATTGGTTTGGCCTAGATCCTCAAGATTGATGATTGCAGTCATGGAGGCAAGGCCAGCTGTGGTGAGACCAGCACAGTGTGGGAGGGGAAAGGTGAGTAAAAACCCCTTACCCATGTGATTGGAAGGGGACCGGTCACCTAAACACACACACACACGCTCACTGCCATTCACTATCACTGCAATAATAACACACATTAAGGTGACCACCCAGTGTCCCTCCCTGGGGTCCAGTGGGACATCAGTCATCTCCCTGCTCTGCTCCATAGAGCTCTGTTCAGTGATGCTGGGGATCAGAATTATGTCATATTCCGGCTCCACAGGAGGGAGTAGGGGTCAGCAGGGAGGTTACAGCTCCCTCGCACCCCTGCCCATCTCCTTAATCCTCCAGGAGCCTCCCATGCTTTCCCTAACAGGATGACTGACCGACTGCACATGCTCTCCCTTTAGCTGCCCAACCAACCACATGCCCAAGCTCTTTATGAGTCGGTCGACCACCTCAGGGGCTGAATGGGTCACCATATCCTAGGTGATAAGAATAAAATGCTAGTCACCATGGCGACCTGGGATTTGTTGAGCAAAGGCATAATGTAATAATTAAGCAGGACAGTTTATCTTTTATCTCTGCTAGCTATATTTTGATTAAATATAAAAAACAGGAACATTGGAGACTAGTGATGTCCCGAATGGTTCGCCGAGGACTCATCATTGAGTAAACTTTGACCCTGTACCTCACAGTCAGCAGACACATTCCAGCCAATCAGCAGCAGACCCTCCCTCCCAGATCCTCCCACCTCCTGGACAGCTCACTAAGAATGCAGCTTCACAATGGATGTTGTCCAGGAGGTGAGAGGGTCTGGGAGGGAGGGTCTGCTGCTGATTGGCTGGAATGTGTCTGCTGACTGTGAGGTACAGGGTCAAAGTTTACTCAATGATGAGTCCGCGGCGAACCGTTCGGGACATCACTATTGGAGACCTATAGATACTTATAGAAACAGGGGGAGTAGGGAGCCTCTGTAGATATTCAATGTATATATTATAACAAATGTAGCAATCTAGTCGGAATAATGTTGCAAGATGTAATGCTGCAACACAGTTACAGCAACATAGAAATATTTGGAACTCCCCTCCCGCCCCAGTAAAAAAAAAAATGTAAAAAAAATTTGCGCTTTTTTTGTATGTGCCAAGGTATGTGTATCTGTGTGTGTGTATATATATATATATATATATATGTATATATATATATATATATATATGTATTTGACACACAAATACACACACACTGGCACACAGATACACACAGTGTGTATCTATCGGTGTGTGCATCTATGTTTGTATGTATGTATGTATGTGGCACACAGATACACACTGGCACACACACACTCACTGACACATACACACACAAACCTTGACACACAGATACACACATACTCTTTGACAAGCACACATACACTCACTGACAAACACACATACAATTTATTTATGTTTTTACATTTCACTCCACCCAGCCTTCCTACCTTTGGGAGTGCTGGCATGGAATCTCTATTTTCTTGGTGTCCAGTGGGGCTGCTGGGCTGAGCGGCTGGCATGCAGCCCATGGGGTCCAGTGAGGCTGCGCGACTGGCGTGCCGGCATACAGTGCAGGCGGCGAGGGAGCAGTGATATTTCTCACGCGCCTCTTAGTGATACCGGAGCGACATCATATTCCAGCTCCAGCATCACTGCTGTGCGCGCAAAGGACCTGAGCAGGGGAGAGTGCTCCCTCGCCGCCTGCCTCAATTATTGCGGCAGCCATTTTGTTTCTCACTGGGTTTATGAAATATCCTTATAGATTTTTTTATATTCAATGCATGTGTGATCTGTTGCTGCAAGATTTGAGATATTTATCATTTTCCCCATGGTATAACCACTCTGCCTGCCAAGAATGAAAGTTCTGCGCTGGCACATCAGCGTCTGAACAATCTTACTGCGGTCCACAGGAAACTTCACACATTTACACAAACAGTGAATTGGGCAATGTGTAAGTTCACAAGAGGCATACGACAGTTTACATGGCAGTTGGAATTTTTCTTTGTGGTCAATAGAACTGTTTTTGGGGATACACAACCATATCTGTTGTGCAGTAGTTTATGGGATAAGAATGTGTTCCTGGTTAGGAAGGAACAGTACAGCAAGAAAAATTAACAAGGAGAAAAAATAAAATGTTTAACCCCAGCACATTTTAATTTAAAAAATATTAGCATATTTGAAGCAAGGGATGCATAGCTAGCCTGTAAACATATAACACAGACATTTTGTGTAAAGATTGCTTTGCAGACAAACTTAAAAATTAAAAATATATAAATGTACACAATTTTTTATTTTTGTTATTTATTGGTTCATCCTTTTAAAAAATATTTTGGAAATTAAAAGGTTTATACAATAAAAGCTTTTTAAAAGCTTTAAACAATTAAAAGCTTTAGACAATATACAGGGTCCTTTATCGCAAAGTCTGAAATGTTAGTATAAAAGCAAAAATAAATTTGTTATATATAATATAAAATAAAAATGGTCAAATAGCTTGCTTGGAGGGGTTTGTAAGGACCCTGAAGGCATTACTAGCTATGCAGCTTACTTAAATGTGTAACATAATGTAAAAATAATGCCTGCATTTGACCATAATGCCCACATACATTAAATTCAGTTAAATCATGTATTTCTAAAATATAAGGTACATTCTTACAACTACTAAAACAATCTATCAATATCTGGACTGCTAATATAATGCGGACAGTGAAATGGTAGAATCCCCTCCCTGACTAAAAAGTGTATCATCCAGTGAAACTTCCTGTACTACAAGCTGACATTTTCAGCAACTTTACATTCATTATATCAATGGACTTGAGAAATGTGTTCCTCTACAGTCTGTTAATCATAACTAGAGTATAAACGAGGGTGGGTGAGGTTTCATGGACTAGATTTCATACAGCAAAATATATGAAAATAAAAAAAAGTTGAAATTCTATTTCAGTATTAAAAAAAAACTAAAATAAAAAAAAAATCATACGATGGCTCCATTTTAAAAATTGTCACTCTAGGAAGTTTCATTGAAATATTTACGGCGAGTAAGTCACAGCAAGGAGAATGGAATGCAATGGGAAAATTAATGGTTTTCTATTTTTTACATTCTAGGTGTATCTCTAATGTTAAGGCACTGCAGCACAATAAAGAACTTCACTGTGACAAAGGATTCATTAAATGATTTACTAAATACAAAGACCAGTTTGTAAGTAGAGAGAGTAAAATATTAATTTATTTTTAATTAGAAATAAGCATTTTGCAATGATGCCATGATCTCATTTTCTTCATCAAGCAGTGAACATTTACAAATCGGAAACATAAAAGCATCAGGAAACTGACTACATTAGGTCCCTTTAGAACAGACTGCTTATAAAATGTTTCATTAGAATCATCAAACCATATTTTTTTATGGATATCATGTGTAAAAGCATTTGAAACCAAACCGATATGCTTTGTCTGTAGTTAGAAAATAAATTATTTCCTGATGCTAACAGAAAAATATTTTTCCTCAAATAATACATTTTACAAAGCTTAAAGGACCACTCTAGGCACCCAGACCACTTCAGCTTAATGAAGTGGTCTGGGTGCCTGGTCCAGCTACGGTTAACCCATTTTTTTTATAAACATAGCAGTTTCAGAGAAACTGCTATGTTTATAAATAGGTTAATCCAGCCTCTAAATCCTCTAGTGGCTGGCTCATTGACAGCCGCTAGATGTGTTTGCGTGCTTCTCACTGTGAAAATCACAGTGAGAAGACGCAAGCGTCCATAGGAAAGCATTATGAATGCTTTCCTATGAGACTGGTTGAATGAGCACGCAGCTCGTGCCGCGCATGCGCATTCAGCCGAAGAGGAGGAGAGGAGGAGGAGAGCTTCTCGCCTGACGCTGGAGAAAGAGGTAAGTTTAACCCCTTCCTCTCCACAGAGCCCGGCGGGATGGGGTCCCTGAGGGTGGGGGCACCCTCAGGGCACTATAGTGCCAGGAAAACGAGTATGTTTTCCTGGCACTATAGTGGTCCTTTAACAAAAAAAAACAAAAACAAAAAAAAAGAGACAAGCATCTTTAACGTTTTTTTTTTTTCATATTTAAACATTGGCATGTCCCAAATCCATCCTCTCTGTTGTCCAGTTTGTAGTTAATTATTTTTTTAAACGATGCACATTTTCAAAGTCATCCACAAGTAAAAAAAAGGACTACTTTTCCTCATGTAGAAATAGCAGGTGGAAAAAAGTTGAGAAGTGTGAGAAATGGCTTGAGAAATGTATGACTGCTGACTGCTCTAAGCAAATTCAGCGGCGCCCCTGTCTGTGGCAGTCCGAGGCTTCCGTTTTGAGGATTTTTTGGAAGTGGATGTTGAAGGTGCAGAGCAGAATGGAGCTGGAAAGCAAACCATTCGTCAACAGTTTAGCAGGCACCATGGACATCCTGTCACCAGAAAAACTTAAGTTTGATGAGGTTCTTATGCTGCTCAGATGGTCCCTTTAGTGTAAGGTTTATCAACCTTAGTCCAGATGTAAAATGTGTGAATGTTTTATGTGACTGAAAATATTTTATACACGTAGTAGAAAAAAAAAAAAAAAATGCTTTGATTCGACAAAACAAAATAATCTGACACAGAAAAGGTAGTCTTAAAGGGACACTATAGTCACTAAACCAACTTTAGCCTAATAAAGCGGTTTTGGTGTATAGGCCATGCCTTTGCAGTCCCATTGCTCACTTCTCTGCCATTTAGATCAGTGTTCCCCAACCCAGTCCTCATGGACCGCCAACAGTCCAGGTTTTGTCAGTATCTCCATTGGAATAAAATAGGGACACACATAAATCCTGCACTGTTGGTGGTTAGTGATGTCCCGAACTGTTCACGAACGGTTCGCCACGGACTCATCATTGAGTAAACTTTGACCCTGTACCTCACAGTCAGCAGACACATTCCAGCCAATCAGCAGCAGACCCTTCCTCCCAGCCCCTCCCACCTCCTGGACAGCATCCATTGTGAAGCTGCATTCTTAGTGAGCTGTCCAGGAGGTGGGAGGGTCTGTTGCTGATTGGCTGGAATGTGTCTGCTGACTGTGAGGTACAGGGTCAAAGTTTACTTAATGAGGAGTCCGCGGCGAACCGTTCGCGGCAAACCGTTCGCGAACCGTTCGGCGAACAGTTAGGGACATCACTATTGGTGGTCCATGAGGATTGGGTTGGGAAACACGGATTTAGATTACTTTGTTTATGCATCCCTAGCCACACCTCCCTGCATGTGACTTACAAAGCCTTCCTACACACTTCCTGTAAAGAGTCATCTAATGTTTACACTTTCTATATTGCTAGTTCTATTTAATTAAAAAAATTCCTATATCCTGTAAGTAATAAAAATTCAATTTACGGAGCATTATATAAAAAAAAACTTAGATCTGATTGAAAATGAAACCATTTTGTTTTCATCCAGGCTATGTCTGTCACAGTCAGGGGAGCTGTAACTAGGGCTGCATAAACAGAAACAAAAAAGTGATTTAACGCCTAATTGGCAGAGAATTACCAGATTTTACTAATTACATGACATAAAGTCATGATTTTATTAAGGACACGGAGGCGAGTATTAGGCTTATCTCTGTCTTTTATTCCTCAGCAGCAAAGAAACATAAGATATTCATAGCAGAAAAAATAAACAAATACCCTCATAGGGTTAATCATTACATCACAATATTGTAGCCTATGAGAGCAGTCCACATAGCATATACTCTCATGTGACCCCAATCTATTCCTCTTTCCTGTTGATGCTGAAGCTTATAATCGATGACAACAAATCAAAAACAAATTAACTTAATCAAACACAAACAGACGAACAGACGGAGTCCGGGCGGCGATTCCGGGTGGCGTTCTGAGGAAACGTATCTTTGGGAACACCTCCGTTGAACTGTGGAAGATTTCAGGCTTTCTGAGAAGCTTCATAATGTGTCAAGCTGGAAGGAACAGAGAGAACAAATGGTAAAATATGTTCCCACAGACTATTGTTCATATTACCACAATATTGAATGCCATAAGACCATATAATCAATTATATTTAAACAAAGCATATAGTAGGTAACTATCTCCTAGGACCATAAGAGCAAACAACAGAGACAACAATCCAGCCATTTAATATCAATACTTATCACGTACCTGGGTTGGGACACAAAACTTTTGTACTGGGTGGGCTAATACTCACCTCCGTGTCCTTAATAAAATCATGACTTTACATCAT